GAAGGGGAGGCCAGCATTTCCTTCCGGGTGAAGGGCTCCTGAGTGGGTAAGAATGGAAAGGCAGTGGGGGCAGAAGGGTGGACAGAGGTCATGCCTGGGCCTGGGCCCCCAGGCAGATGTCTGTACTTGTTCATGCCCCCTCGGCACCTTCCCGCAGTGAGATGGTGACCGTCATGACACCCCCTTGGCCTTCGACGATCTCTCAAACTGTTTTCAAGAAAGGAAAGCTGACGCTCTGGAAAGATATTCCCAGGACAACTGCCGTGTTTACATCACCACTCATGCAGCTCAGTGCCCTGCCCAGAGGAAAGATCTTCTTGCGATCTCTGCACCCTGTCAGCTCAGAAGCGGCCCATTCCTGCTGCCCCTTAGCCAGAGAACCCAAGGTCACCCACCCCTGCAAAGTGTGGCCAGGAAGGGGCTGGGGTGTGGCTGCTTCTGTGAGCCCCCCACCAGCACAGAGGACATCAGCCCCACTGGGTCTCAAAGGGAAGCAGGCAGGACCGAGATCAGGCGGAACACACTCAAGCCAAGAAGAGACTCTCTTCTCTTTTAGTGACAGACAGGCAGGTAGGAGGGGTAGAGAGAATAGGACCCAGAAGTCTAGTCTGGTTCTAGCTCTGTCCCACACTCACTGTGTGGCCTCGTCTGTCAAACAAACCCACTGCCATCAAGTGAATTCCAACTCATCTCAAAAACTCACTGCCACTGAGTTGATTCCAACTCATTTCCACCCTAGACAGGGTTTCTGAGGCTGTAACTATTAAGGGAAGCACACAGCCTCATCTTTGTCCTGAGGAGTGGCTGGTGGGTTTGAACTGCCGATCTTGCGGTTAGCAGTTCAACATCTACCCAACAGTTCCACATTGGAAGGGTTGACAAAATTACCATAGGCCCTTGCAGCTTTCTGGTCCTAGCATTGTAGAAGGGGGGAGGGGGGAAGAGAAGAAGAATGGAAGGACTGACTTAGCAAACCTTTAAAATAATAAAGACCAGTTTGTTTTTGGTATCTTTGGCCTAATTTAGAGTTACCTCCTCTCAGCCCCTGTGTTAGTCCGGGTAGACTAGAGAAACTAATTCATTGACATTCATATATGTGTAAGAGAGAACTTTGTATCAAAGAGTAATTAAGAAAACTTTGTATCAAAGAGTATTAAGAAAACACCCCAGCCCAGTCCAGATCAAGCCCATAAGTCTCATATTAGCCCATATGTCTGATACCAGTCTATAGATCCCTCTTCAGACTCACACAACAAACACATGCAATGATGCCAAGTTCAGGGGGATCACAGGCCAGTGGGTGGAGAGTCTTGTGGATCCAGTGGTGGTGAAGCATCTCAGCGCTGGTGTGGCTCCTTCCAGCTCCAGGCCTCTGGCTCCATAGCTCCATGTGGCTTGCCAACAGGCATGTCTCACAGGGAAGAGTGTGTCCGGCCTCCAGAGAGGAAGACAGGAGTTCCCAGAACCCTTAGGAGAAGGCCATGCCCACACAGAGGCCTCATTGGTTATGACCTGATTGACAGGCTAGACTCCACCCCTTCGCTCAAGTTGACAGTAGATTATGTAACTGCCACAGGCCCTGGCCCTGAAGACTAGGACTTCCCTGCTGTTTCTCTTGGTCTTGTTAGAGAGTGGAAGTTACCACCTGTCCTTCTCCCAGGGTCGTTGCGCAGAATGCCAACCTTTAAGGGGTCTGTGAGCAGACTGAGGCAGCAGTGACTGGGGATGAGGAAGGGTTGGGGAGAAGGAATCCACGAAGCCTTCCCTGTACTTGGAATTCTTTCCAGGAAGGAGGGTCACGCAGGAGCTGGGTTTACAGGGTGATGAGAAGTAACCCGTGGATCCCAAGTGGTCCCTTCCAGTGAGGACAGAAAACACACCAAAGCTCAGGAAAGGAGGCCCCGGGTGTCCTGGGTGCTCTATCCTAGGACAGGAGAACAATGTGGTCCCTGCCTTTCCTCAGACTGAGAGCCAGGGCAGAGCCAGCTCAGCGTACTCGGATCAGAGGTTGGCTCTTCTCCCAGACAACGCTGATTTCCCAGCAGGCCAGGAGGGGAGGCTGTGGCCCAGGAGATCTACAGGGCAGGGTCCTGACGGCTCCCTCGGTGTACAGCTTGAGAGAAGTTCTGCTGGCGGGAGAGCAGTGGTGCCCACACCCCTGTGGGGCGTCAACAGCAAGGAGAAAAAAAAACAAGGGAGGTGCAGCCAGGCAGACCTGGACAATGACTTCACCTCTCTCTAAACCTCTGTTTCCTGGGGGATTAAGTGGATCTGATATTACCCACCTCGCCACATGGTGTAAAGGCCCAAGAAGCTAATGCCTAATGGGGGCTTTGTATATGGTGGGCACAGAACACATATTAGTCCTTGATGTGGTTGGAGAAGGCGCTGCCAACTCCTTTCTCCTTTCTCAGAAGAGGAATCATTCCTGCCTCCTGCCTCGCTAATGGTCTCCAAGGACAATTTTTTTTCTGGGCAGGAAGTGGGGCTTCTTCCCTTAAAATAAACAACCAAGAACTGACTGCTATTGAGTCAATGCCTGTTCATCGCGACCCTGCCCATCTTCCAGAAACCCTGTGGGTTTCTGAGCCTGTAACTCTTTACACAGTAGAAAGTTTCATCTGACCCTCAGAGCAGTGGGGAGTTTCGAACTGCTGACCTTGAAGTTAGCAGCCTACCTCTAACCACTGATCCACCAGGGCTCCATGTCTCAAAGGAAAGGGTTAAAATTCAGGGCTGGGATTCCCACTCAATGCCTGTCCTCCTTCCCAATTATTCGGGTGCTTGCTCCTGATCAAAACACCTCTTCACTCTATACCCAAGTACACACGCCTTGGGGAACCTTCTCCCTCCCCCCCCCCCCCCTAGGTGCACTCCAGGATGGATAAGCAGGCATCACCTTTACAGGGATCACCCAGGGCACAGGGCACTCTTTCCAAATTCCATCCTGGCAGCACACACAGAGCAGACATGCTTGGAAATGCACAACGAAATCTTCAGATGGTTGGAAAGAGGAGCTGCAGAGCCCCCGCCCCCCCTCCCGCACATCCACAGTCTGCAGGTTCCTCCACAAAGCTCCAGACAGAATATTGGACGGCATAGCAAACAGAAGTAAGCACTTACCACGTGCCAGCTAACTTTCACATACAATGGCCAAGCCATCCCTGACATAGTAGGGCTAGTTAACAGTTTTCGCCCCTTTGCTGTACAGATGAGGACACTGAGGGGTAGAGAGACCTGGAAGCCTGGCTCAGGCGCGTGCCTGTACACGCCCCCCCCCCACGCCCCGCTTATTTACATGGACAGATTTATTACAAAGCCGCAAACTCCTCAGTTCAAGTTCTGAGCGCGCACACAGGGCGAGCGCCTTTGGGGGGAGTTAGTGGGAGAAATGGCCCTCTGGCAGAAGCAGGTGGCAAATGGGGGTGAGCAGCCCGCAGATGTGCATCCAAAGATGGAGGCAGTGGTCAGCATCGTCTGCAGGGGGACCACCGGTGTGAGGCGCTGGGCGGGCGACGAACCCTCTGGCTGGCGCTGGGCCATCGTCTGCCTTGACTTTTAGCGAGCTCTGGCCCTGGCACAGCCTCTCGGGCTGCGCCCATTTCCCGGCCCGCAGGCCGGAGCGAGGATACAATGAACCTCGGGGTCTTAGACGAAGCGTCACGCCCTCAGGCTGGTGTGCTCCGGAGGCCCTGGGCCCGGGTCCGAAATTCCGGTGGCGACACTTTGTCGCCTCACCAGCGCCCCACCCAGGCTAGCCGCACCGCGTTCGTGGTCTGTGCGCCTTTAATGGGAGAATAGCAACCACTTTGTTGGGACAAATGGTATTCACAATCCACGCGCCCATCTTCCAGCCCTTTCCTGGTCGGACTCAGACGCCGCTGGCTCCCTCCGGAGCCACAGTGATTACCCCGCGCGCCACGTCGGGGTCTGAGCAGTTGCCTTGCAGTGGGTTTGTGAGACAGGACAGGAGTTTGTACACTTCGTTTGTTTGGGGGGGGGGGCACACATTTGACCCCTGCAGTGTCCCTAGAAGGCAGCGACCCCGGGAATAGGTGCGTGGGGAGAGGGGGCAGGGAGATGGGCGAGGGGAGCGAGGAGGGAGTCCGGGCCGAATTAAACAAAACAAACCAAAAATACAATGGCAAGTCAAAGACCGGATCGGGACCCACCCCGGCATCGGCTTCGGATGCTGCCTTCCGGTGCTGCCCTCTCCTATGAATATTCCAACTTGGGGAAGTTTTCCAGAGTCGGTGGGAATAAGTCTCAAAAGAGTTGACGCGAACCCGGGGGACCACTCTGTAGCCGCTCCCTCTAGCTGGGACCCGGAGAACAAAGGCGCTCTAGAGGAGAAAGGTGACCAGCTGGACAGTGATGGCCACTTCCAAACCGAACTCTTCTCCCCTGCCTCCGGAGTCCCGAGAGAGGAAAATCTGATGATAGATAGAAAGGAAGGGCTTTCTTAAAGGAAACTCCCTTCCCCCACCCCAGGCATCCATCACCCCGAGTCGGCACGCCAGGGGAGACCGGCCCGCCAGCCCAAGAGGAACCTCCTAACTGCGGCGACCGCAGAGCCCTTGGCGGGGACGCCAGGTCCTCCGGCGACTGCCGGACCCAGGGCGCGAGCGAGGATCCTTGTAGATTTCGGAGGAGGGGGCTGCGCTCCATTGTTCACTCCAAGCCAATCAGGGTTTGCCCACTTCGTCCCAGCCAATCCCCCTTCACCCCGGCCTCCCCACCACCCAGCCCGCCCACCAGCCCCCAGGTCCCGGCTCATCTCCCCCGGATCCCCAGCGGTTCTGGGGAAGCTTCGTGACGCCACAGGTCCCGCCCCTAGCTCCGGCCCGGGGCTAGTGCGTGCTGACGTCATGCTGCGTGCGGGCCGGTGCGGAATCGCTCCTTCAACTCCGCGGGGCAGGAGGAGTTAGTTAGCAAAGAGTCCAGGCTGGGCGCGCGACCCTCGTCCCTGGCCGCACACTTTACGCACATCTCTTTTCTGCATGGTGGATATTATTTTTCCTTATCCTTTTCTGGGTGCTATGGGGGATCATTCCAAGAGTAAGTCTTTGTGTGTGTGTGTGTGTGTGTGTTTAGGGGGTGGGTGGGTGTGCGTGCATGCGTGTGCTTAATATTGCAATATGTCTAATTCGGAAGGATGCTAAACGGATTCTACAAGTGGCTTTTATTTGACAGAACACTTTTTTTGAGAGAGGAAAAGAAATAAAACGAATGCATTTCTCCTGCAGGACTGCTTGTCCTCTGGCATTCCGTTGTTTCATTTCGTAATTTACATTATTTCTCCAGCCGGCTAGGCTGACCTCAGGCTGTGAAACCTGCTTCTGGGTTGCGCTGAGACAACTAGGTTCGATCTAAGGGGGAGGGGGGAGAGGTGGCTTTTATCCGCGTAGCTCTTTCAAATAAAGAAGCTGTCTCGGGCATGACCAGATCTATTTAAACGAACAAACGTCAGCGCGGATGAGCGGAGACTCGGATGAAAGGTGCGGTGTGTCTGTGCTGGGGTAGGAGGCAATCGGTGCAGAGCGAAGGGCGGAAATGCCGGGACATCGCTGTCCATAACGAGGCGGTGGCACCCGCAGTGCCTAAATCTCTATTGACTCGTTCTCCTCACCTTCCTGTGAGCATTTAGTTACAAGTCGGATCGATCCAACGGCTGGGCGTCCTAGTCCATGTAATAAGGAGAATCATTCGGGGGTCGGGGAAGGAAGGTAGAAAGCCTTCACAAATTCAGCAGCGCAGGGGTCTGCGTTTCCAATTGTCTGGACTTCTAGAAACCCTCTCTCTCCTTGTGGCTTGAAAGAGGGAGCGAGCGAGCGGGCTGGGCTGGGCTGGGCAGGAGTGGCCGCGGCCGCCGGGCCCGGCAGCCAGGCCTGACGCGGGCCCCGCGCCCTTCCCCGGCAGAGAAGCCCGGGACGGCCATGTGCGTGGGCTGCGGGAGTCAGATCCACGACCAGTTTATCCTGCGGGTGTCGCCCGACCTCGAGTGGCATGCCGCCTGCCTCAAGTGCGCCGAGTGCAGCCAGTACCTGGACGAGACATGCACGTGCTTCGTGAGAGACGGGAAGACCTACTGCAAGCGCGACTACGTCAGGTGAGGCCCGCCGCCCCGCGGGCTAGGCCACCGCTCGGGGCCTGGGGCTGAGCTTCGGGGATGGCGGGCCACCCGCACGCCCCGCCCCACGGCGCGCCCAGAAGCCCCCCGAGGGGCAGGGGCTGCCCTCAGCCTCCCCGCAGGCCCCAAAGCGCCTTGGGCGCGGATGCAGCGAGTAGCTGAGCGGCCGAGAGGCCGGGGCTGGCGGTCGCCCGGACCGTGGTCCAGCGCTCACGCCGGCCGCACCTCCGGTCCGCAGGCTGTTCGGCATCAAGTGCGCAAAGTGCCAGGTGGGCTTCAGCAGCAGCGACCTGGTGATGCGGGCGCGGGACAGCGTGTACCACATCGAGTGCTTCCGCTGCTCTGTGTGCAGTCGCCAGCTGTTGCCCGGCGACGAGTTCTCGCTGCGGGAGCATGAGCTGCTTTGCCGAGCGGACCACGGCCTCCTGCTGGAGCGCGCAGCGGCCGGCAGCCCGCGCAGCCCTGGCCCGCTCCCGGGCGCCCGCGGCCTGCATCTGCCAGGTAAGCGCGAGCCGGGCCCTCTGCCGCCTGCGCCGCTGGGTGAGTGGGCTGAGAGGAGCGTGTGTGCAGGTAGGTAGGTAGATGGGTGCAGAAGGGGCTGCTGGTGCTCCTGACGGGCAGCTGTCACTTGTGTGGCTTTACGGTGTGATTGCAGAAGTTCGAGCCAGGAACAACAGCGTGTGTGTTCGCGTGTCCCGGGAGCGGGTTGTGTGCGGAACAGCGTGAGCCTGAGCCGGGAGCTGGGCTTGCCGTGACTGTGCGCATTTGTGCCTTCTGTGGCTGGCGAGCGGGCTGGGAGGAGGAAGGAGTATGACAACGGGGAATTTGAGGGATTGCCTTGGGGATAGTGTCCAGGAATCTGCGTTCTTGTCCGAGAGGGAAGCTAAGCCGGCCAGGAGCCCACTAGTAAAGGTGGCCTTCAAGGCCGCCCACCTGTCAAAGAAGGGCTATTGGTGTTTCATTTTGTTTGGAGGCCCGTTTTGATGGACAACTTAACCAAGTGGCCCTTGTGTGGCAGGAGTATGAAGGCAGAGTGGAGTGGAGGATTAGATAAAACAACAACAACAACAACAACAAACAACTCAGCATGCTCTAGTTACAAAGCTGGGCTGGGGTAGGATGGAAGGGAGGGGGAGAAGCAGAGGTTCTCTGGCCCAGGAAGGAGCAGCTCCCAGGAGGTCGCCTGCCACAGGTCTGAAGCCATCTCTAGACTAGACTGAGCCTGGGGGTGCCGTGTGGTATGGCAACCCTCCCATGTGCCCAGCCTCTATTTTCTCCTGTCTACAATGAGACATATGAGCTGAAGAGGCTAGTTGTAAATATTTGTCCAGATGGAGAAATGCCTGGAGATGTCTGCATGGAAACTGCAAAGTGAGGTACCTATGCGTGGGTGTGCAGACATAGGCCTGTCGGATGTGGGTGAAGCTGGAGTTGAGTGCACCTTTCTGCCTGTTTGATCGGATCGCAGAAGGTGACTGCTGGGCTACTTGTGGTTGGGGGGCTGCGGGAATCAGGCCCTCCTTCCCTTAGGCTGGATCTGAGGCCAAGCTGGGAGACTCAGCGACTGAACGCCTTTGGGAGGGTGAACAGCTGCTGGGTAGAGCGACCTGGAGGTGTGAGGCAGGAGACCCAGGGCCCAGGTCCGAGGGCGGGCAAGAAGGAACCGGTTTCGGCGCTGGCGGCCTGTCCAGCCCGATGCTGGTGGGGTCCGAGAAGCCTTGGGATGTGAGGCGGAGGCACCCGGGAGCAGCGCCGCGTCGGCCCTGCGTGCTTGCCACTGCCTCCGTAGTCACACACTCGGGCTTCTTCCCGAGAGCTTGCCGCGACTGCGGGTCCCCCGCGGGCTCTCCCAGGGTCAGAAGAGAGGAAGAGGCGCAGCCAGGGTGGGGGGCGGCCACTCCGGGCTTCCTTGCTGGCACGCCTGGAAGGGATGAAATGCGCCCGGCAAATAGACGGGAGAGGGAGGCGAACAATAAAACGAAACAAACGCACAGACAAAACGAAACAAAACGAAATCGAGCCCCGGAAGACTCAGGCGCGCCGGGCCGGGGGGTCGGGGCTCCTGGCTCACTTCTTGTCGCTTGCTGCTCCCACGCAGACCCCGGGGCGGGCCGGCAGCCCTCGCTGCGCCCGCACGTGCACAAGCAGACGGAGAAGACGACCCGCGTCCGCACGGTGCTCAACGAGAAGCAGCTGCACACCCTGCGAACGTGCTACGCGGCCAACCCGCGGCCCGACGCGCTCATGAAGGAGCAGCTGGTGGAGATGACCGGCCTGAGCCCGAGGGTCATCCGCGTCTGGTTCCAGAATAAGCGCTGCAAGGACAAGAAGAAATCCATCCTCATGAAGCAGCTGCAGCAGCAGCAGCACAGCGACAAGACGGTGAGGAGCCGCGCGGCCCAGGGAGCCGGCCGGGTGGGCTTCTTCGGGATGGCTCGTGACTTTCTTTGAGGAGCTCCAGGGGAAACCTGGTTGTCCAAACTATGTGTGTTTGTTCCTTCCGGGCAAGGCTTGTCTGGGGGAGGGGGACGGCGGTCCCGGAATGACAGCGTCTCCGTTCAGGTCTGCTCCCCTGGCCCACCAGCGGTGGGTGGAAGCAGTGTCTTCAAACAAGGCTGACAGGTGGTGCCCTTCCCTGGGCCTGGCTTGGTTTGAGCCCTTCCCTTTGTATAGCAGTTGGATGGGCTCAGTTATCTGCCTGTGTGCTTGGCCCTTGGCACTGAGGCAGGTCAAGGGTGGCTGGTCGGCGGGGAGGCCCGGAGTATCTTCCATGGGGAAGAAACATCCCTCCCTCCCCACCGCCCCGCCAGTCGCTGCAGGCTCCAAATCGTGATCCACTGTCAGGGGTCCTGATCGCCGTGATGGTGGAAAAGGCAAGATCTAACTGAGCGCCCCTATCCCCACCCCTGTCTCGCCCAGCAGAGTCTTCAGGGACTGACTGGGACGCCGCTGGTGGCTGGCAGCCCCATCCACCACGAGAGCGCAGTGCAGGGCAGCGCAGTCGAGGTGCAGACGTACCAGCCGCCGTGGAAAGCGCTCAGCGAATTCGCCCTCCAGAGTGACCTGGACCAGCCGGCTTTCCAGCAGCTGGTGAGTCTCGAGACTCCCACAGACCCGGAGGAAGGGGTGGGGACAGGAGAGCTCTGCACAGCGGGGAAGTCGCCCAGGAGGGAAGGAAGGGGCTGAGATAAGGTGAGGGGCTGGGGGTCAGCTCTGGGCAATGGGGAGAAGGGAGTGGCTGCAGTGGCCTGCCAGCCGGCAAAGGGCCTCAAATTGGATCTGTGGGATTAGAGAGCGCTCCGGAGAGGTCGGAGGGATTAAGTAACCTGTGTCCCAGCCCCAATCCCTGAGAGTGTGAACGTGGGCCTGGGAATCTGGTCGCCTTCACCTCCAGCCTTGCAGTCACACGGTGGCCGGTCCCCAAGAGAACTACGCCGGCGTGAGGTCCCTCCAGTACCAGCTGGGGGCACGTCTTCACTCGCCGGTCCTTGGTGTCTCTGCCACCCCAGGTCTCCTTCTCCGAGTCCGGCTCCCTGGGCAACTCCTCCGGCAGTGACGTGACCTCCTTGTCCTCGCAGCTCCCCGACACCCCTAACAGCATGGTGCCAAGTCCTGTGGAGACGTGAGGGGGACCCCTCCCCGCCAGCCTGCGGACCTCAAAGCATGCTCCCTGCATGAGACTCACCCACGCTCAGGCCAATCCAGCTCGGAAAACTCTCGCCTTTTAAATTCTTATTATTGTTATTTAAAGAGAGAAGGCCGAGAGACTTCGTCGGAACCGCCCAAAGCGCTCGGACGCCACCTGCTTTCTGCCAGACTTTGTATTTCTTCAGAACCAGACTTTGGGATTCACTAGGGTTAGCTCTAACCTCGCTTCTCCCTTGCTCCGTCTCTCAGCGCCCTGAGCGCGCCGGACGCCAGGCCTTAACCACGCCGCGCCAGATGCGAGCTCGCCCGCCAGGGCGCCTTCCTTAAATCCGCCCCGCACTCCTAGGCCTCCGCCCGGGCCCTAGAGGGGTAGAGGAAGGGAAAACCCCAAAAGAACAGACACGCAACCCCCCAAAACGCATGATTGCTGGGGTTAAAAAAAAAGGAAGTTCCTTGAAAATGTTTTAAATTATCAGTCGACGGAGGACAGTGTGAGCCCTTGCCGAACAAACGTAAGTTATTGTTATTTATTGTGAGAACAGCCCGTTCATACTGGGACGACTATTTTGATCTTAATAAAAAAGAATAACCCGATGCGACGCTGCTCCCGTGTACTCTGGGCGCAGCGGGTGGGTGGATCCACGTAAATGCGGGCGTTGGCTTTATTTCAACGAAAATAAGTCACTAG